CCCCCCCGCTTCCTTCATTCCTCTGCTCTGAGCCGTCTGCCCCAGCCTTCCTTTGTCAGCTGCCGGTGCCCAAACTGACCCGGGCGGGAGCTCAGAGGAGCCCCTGGTGGGCTTTGGCGGAAGAAGGCCCGGCCATTTGCTGACCGTCAGGTGTGCACTCTCCTCGTGCCCCAGGGCGGGGCAGGCAAAGGCCTCCAGCGCCCCGGTCCGGAGGGCCAAGCCTGCGGAGGTCTCCCTGCCCACGTGCGGGGCCCGGGCTCTGCTTTCCCCTCGGGGCGGGGGGCAAAGACCCCTGCAGAGCCAGAGCCAGAACCCGTCTTGGGCCAGCGCGCGCTTGCCCGCTCATTCCCAGGCACAGGCCGTGCCTGCTGGGTTAGGCTCTCGGTGTGACCCTGCGACCGTCTCTGTCCCCAGGAAACAGAAGGAGCCGGATGGCCTGGGGCTCGGCAGAGAGTCGAAGCCTTGGGCGGTGGCCTGGGCTTTGCGGGTGGGCTCCGGAGGGACCCCTGTTCGGGCAGGGAAGGACCTCCGGGAAGGCCCCGAGCAGCCACGCTGCCCTTGTGCTGGCCAGGAGCAAAGCGCAAGCGGGCCAGCTTACGTCGGGTCGCCTGCGTTCAGGCTCCGGGTAGGGCCGCGGAGGTGCTTGGCGGACAAGGAGCTTGGTCCCGCGAGGAGAAGCTGGTCGTGCGCAAGGCGGAAGAGGGGAGGTCCGCTGCAAGGGCCCAGGGGCAGCGGGACACAGCATCATGGATCCCGGTGGTAGGCAGGCCAACCGCAGGCAAACGTAGGAAGTCATCTTAACGATGAAGAACCGCTTGACCCAGAAAACATACTGGAGCTCTTCAGGGGGGTTCCTGCACCAGCGCTGGGGGGACCCGGTGACCTCAATGGCCCTTCCTAAGGGCTGCTCCTCCCTTGCCCCCTCTGTGCCCAAATTGGCCGTGGCAGCATTTTTTTTTATGCCCTGTCCCCCTTGTCTTTATCTTGTCCCCAGCCTATGAGGGAGACAAGCGCAGGTCGCCCTGAGATGAACCAGGGTTGCAATAGCATTTACTCCCCGCTTTATTCTGACGCTATCTAAAAGCAGCCACCCGCTGCCTCGGAGGCTTGTCAGGGGACCTCGGTACCTGGGAAGAGAGAAGGGTCGGCGGCGTGGATGATGTTCCGAGCTCTCTGTGAACTCGGATGGACGGGAGCACGGTCTGGCAGTGGGGGAGGCCCCAGTTCTAGGATCTGTGCCGCTGACCCCGTTGAGCGGAATGGCGGGAGGAGGCAGTCCCTGGATCACAGCGGTGGGAGGAGCCATAGGCCCCCTCCGGGGCCCTCGGCCTCTGCATTCGGCTGGCCTTCGCGGATTCCGAGGTCAGTGCGGAACCCGGCCCCGCCACCTCTCCTGGCGGATGCCTGCGGTCTGGGCGCCAAAACACCCCGGGGGGGGGGGAGAAGGGGCATGCAGGGGTCCCCACTCTGCTCTTTCAAAATGAGGTGGTGGAGGAGGAGGGAGAAATGGGGCCGTTGGCCTGAATGCGCCATTTCGCTCATCCAGGCAACGAAGCTGTGGCTTTTTTGGAAAGCTGAATCGTGGGACATGCTATTCGTGGTTCAAAGGAAAGCAGATGCTTCCTTTGGCAGTTTGTGTATTCATGACAGCCCGGGAGGCAGTGCAGAATTGGGCCGATCTGGGCAGGAGGGTCTGGAGTCAAAACGCCCCCGGCTCCAATCCCCGAGTCCCACCTGCACCCACTGCCTGCACGGCGGAAGCTCCACCCCAGAATCCCGGAAGGAGGCCGCTCGGCCTCTGTTCCATAGACACGCACCGAGGCTCTTCCGGTCAGCGCTGAGAACCTGGTCTGGATCCTGGTTTCCCAGGAAGCCCTCGGTGGCCTTCAGCGGAGGGCTCCGGCTGGCACCCTCCCTGCCCTCTCAGCAGTGGGGCAGCCTCCCTTCCTGCACCGTAGCCAGGGGAACAAGGCAGCCGCGTCCGAGGTTTCAGAACCACATAAACCATATGGGGATGCCAGTAGCTGCCCGGACCTCTGCACTGAGGTCACCGGGGCCAGCGTTTTGCCCTGGGAGCAGAGGCAGACCTGCGAATCTTGGCTTTCCCCGGCTTTAATTAAACGGGCTTCAGTGGCTTCCTAATTGCTCCTGGTCTCCAGCCCACTGGCCCCCTTTGCTCCCTGTTTCTGCAGTGTCTCCCTGGCCTTGCACCGCTTCCCCTCCGCTCTGGCTATTCCTCCCCCCGGCTCCTTTATTTAGCTTCATCCACATAAATCAAACATCGATTACCTATTTTTCTGCCGGGGCTCTCTAGGCATCATACAAACCAGAACCATTAAGGACAATGAAATAATAAACCATAATCAGAAATCACACATGTCGGAGGGAAGAAGCCAGCCCAAATGACCCCCCATGATCAAGCCAGCGGTGATGCTCTCCCCACCCGCCCCAGGTGTGTCTTCTAGTTATCCCACAAGGCCTCAGCAGTATAACAAGCTTAATAAATAAAATAATAAACGTGCAGTGTATTCTTGGTCATCCCAAGAATTTTGTTTTCATTCTTTCTTGACCTCATTGCTGAGGTGGAAAGAATCATACCTCTGCATCAGGGAACGCTGCATCCTTGAAACTGGAAAGCGAATTGAGAGATTGTGAACTCCTGCAACTGCCGCTTTGGGTTCCGCCTGGACGGTGCAGAAACAGAAGGAGCCCTGAACTTTAGGACTGTACGCACCACGAAATCCTCAAGGGAACACACAGAGAGTCTCCTTTAATCTACAGAACTTTTATTAATTACAATTGCTTGAGCACTGCACGTGCGTGTGCACACATGCGCACGCGCACTCACTTGCCCAGGTGATGCACAGGGATTGGAGAAGTCAGGAGCGCTCAGGTGATAGTTGCATGCACAAATAGCGCATCTTCCAACTGGACCCCTGCCCGCCTTTCTTTCTCACCTCTTGCCCGCCTCATTCCGTCAAAGTCCTCTCGTCTGCCACCTCAGCTGTCCTTTCATTGACCTGGCAGGTGGCTGAGTGGAATGCGACTTGCTGCATGGCAGTTAACTTTCTTATCTCCGGTTGCTGCTTCAGAGTTGACTTCCTCGTCTCTTCAGCTGGCTTGTTCCTGGACACGTGCGCGTTCTCCTCTAGGCCACGCTTTGGCCACTCTCTCCGTCTACTTCTCCCGTCATTTTCGTTCTTGTAACGCCAACCCTCTGCGCAAGGCAGGGGCCCGATCAAAGCACACCGGACAGGTGGCTCTCTCTGGATCGTTATCTGCCCCGTAGAGCTGTTTTACCCGCAAGAGTATCCAGACAAAATCTGCCTTTCTGTAACTTAAATCCATTTTTCTGTATCAAATCTATTAGTCCTGCATTCCGGAATGGGAGGCAGGTTTTGTCCGATGTTTGGAGAGGGCTACCGTGTCCGCCCCCCAACTTCTCTCCAGGCCGAAAACGCTCGGCCCCTTCCGCCTCTCTTCTGAGGGCTTCGTCCCCAGGCTCTGATCGTCCCCGTTTCCCTTCTCTGCGCCTGTTCCTGTTTCTCTGACTCCTCCTTCAGCGAGAGGGTCCCGAACCGAACAGAGTGGTATCTGAGCAAAGCAGACCGCAGTGGAGCTATGACTGATTATACTTTTGAAATTGTATTAACGTTGACAGAGCCAAAAGTTGCATTTGCCTTCTTTTCAGCCATATCGCACCGCAGTCTGCAATTAACTGCTATTCCACTATTTCCTTCACAAGTATTATTGTCAAGCCGTTGATAAGCACTCTTGGAGAACAGTTTTCAAGCTAGCTACGTATCTGTTTATTTGTCACATTATCCCGCACACCCATCTTACTTATCATCATGCCGTGGAATACTTTGTCAAATGTGTTGCTGAAATCAAGATACGTTATAACTACAGCATCCCAATCATTAATTGCAGCCATCAAAAGTTTTTAAAAAATAGCCATCAAAACATGAAATAAAATCAGTCTGGCAAGCTTTGTTCTTGATAAATCCATGCTGACTTCTGGTAATTAGAACATTTGTTTGTCAAGGTGTTTGTAGTTCAATCTCTTCATGATTAACTCTAGAATCTTCCCAGGTATCAGTGTCAGAGTGACTGGTACATAGTTCAATGAATCTTCATTTTTTCCCCCATTTTGAAGATACGGACAACATTTGTTCTCCTCCAGTCATCTGGCACTTCACCAGTTCTGTGGGATTTCTCAAAAATAATACAAAAGGGTTTGGCCAGACCATCTGCTAGTTCCTTCAGTACCCTGGGATGCAATTCATTTTGTCCTGGAGATTAAAAGTCTTTCAGAGTAAAGAGGCATTTACTGAACATGTTTCTGTCAGTCAAGCTTCTGCCTTCCCTTCATCCTGCTCTTCACAGTTTCCTAGTAGAACAAAAAGTTTTCTGTTGGAGAAGACCAAACCAAAATAGGAGTTCGGTAGCCCTGCAGTTTCTTTATCATCTGCTAGCATTTGGTTTCCTCTTTGGCTGATATTCGGACTCTTTTCCTTTTATTCTGAACACCGCTATTAAGGCCGTTTTGTTTATTCTAAGCTAGCTTGAGATCAGCACTTGAAAGTGGAACGAATGCAGCCCCTCCACCTTCCCCTCCCCTCCCCTCCCCTCCCCTCTGCAGATGTTTCAAGGGGAGCAGATGAGCCTAATGCCATGAGATGTACTCGGTCCCTTCCAACAGCCACCTGACTCACAGGGAATCACAGAAGGAGCCAACAGGCCAATACTCCGTATGTTCTAACCGCCCACGATCGTCACCGCTGTTGTCTAGGACACCGGGGCCTACAGGTCTTCCTCCGGTTACCCCCTTCTCCAGAAGCAGAGCAACCCACCTCCAGTCCCACCCACTACCATTGGGTTTCCTTGCTGGAAGATGGTTTCGTTCTTCATACTGCAGCTGCAATCTTCTGCCATAGTTGCCAGGACCTGAGGCCTCTGCCTGGGGAGTCACAGGCAATTTCATTCCCATGGGACGGTGGCTGCCGGTGGCCACCATTTGACCTTGACGCTCTCTTTTACGTCAGCCTGCTTCCAAAGAGAGGCATATGTGTCGTTATTTATTTCAGCATGATAAATTGGTTAACAGAAGAAAAAGTATACTTACCTACTACCTAAGGTATGAACAATATAACATCGAAATTAATAATCATGCTAAGAAGGGCAGACAGGGCAGGGCAGGGCAGGGAAGTGGGGAAAAGGCCTGGAAAGTTAGGTTGTAAAAAGAGCAGCTCCAAAGAGTTTGACCATATTGCTCAAAAGTCCTCTTTCTTGTTCCTGTCAGAAAACTAATTCAGTACAGACTAACGGCGCAGATGTCGAGTTCTCTTCCAGCGTGGTATGATCAGTCTTTTAGCCAGCTTCTGTGCCTGAAACAAACCACAGTTCTTGATGTCTTGATAGTGCCCAAATATTAGGGGTATCACCAGAAAGGACCTGTGCGCCTCTAACACACATTGGTCAGTTCAGACTATATTAACGGTCCCATTGATTTCAGCCCAAAAATGAGGAAGAATCCAAACCTTTTGAATTAATGTAGTTAATTGTCTAACTCCTGAGTTGCATCTTCAACGGCAAGTTGATTGCAACCAACGTTTTCTGAGCCATCCAGGATAGATACACACACACACACACACATGCATCTCCCATCCAAGGAAACTAGTTTCGGGACATTCAAGCTCATTATTCCATCGGTAACTGATAACCACCAACTTCCTGCCCAAAGAAAGCCTCCCTGGCTGAGCCACGGCTGAGGACCTGAGAAGCCGGCCGGCAGCCTCTGGGCCAAACAGCCGGATGATAAATGCTTGAGCCGAATTCACCTCGGAGAAGCACTCAGAGGAGAAGCAGGCTTGTTGTTTTAGTCTGCAAAGATGTTAAAAATGGCTTTCTCAGCACTGAACTGCTCCTAAGCAGTTTACTCCTCAAAAGGGATTTAGCAGCTGCCACATAATGGAAGCTTTGGGGGGGAAATGGATCAAAATTAGACCCAACTGCAACCCAGTTTTCCCACATACCTCCAACAGCTTTGTGGAAAGGTTGTAAGAGGAATCGAGGGGCTTTCCGTGCTGCCATTCCTTCGGAGCAGATTTCTTTTCTGTTTTGAGGTGAGCTGGCCTTGACTCAGCCTTGACTCTTAGCCGGTGTGTGGAAGATGCCCACATCATTTTCTTAGCCACAGCCC